TGGTTGGCCAATGCTGGAGTTTGATCATCGTCACGTGTCAAATAAGATATGGTTCTCCTCCATTGTGGCGAGAATCACATATTATGGCATTATAAAGATTTATTGGCTGACGAATTGAGCCATAATTCAAACATTTTTAAAAGCTGTAATCATAATCATAATCATAGCTACTATATAAACCTTATCGGACGTTACTCAACCGGACATTACGTGAACGGATATAATTTTTAACGGACATTAAAATAAACGCTCGAAGGCATTCATGATCAGTATCTAATTTAAGTACCTTATCAGAATTTATTTGAACGGACATTCAAATGAACGCAAGGGCCTCCAGCGTCCAATTAATGTCCGTTCAAATAAAGTCCGATAAGATATACCCTTTTCAGGAGAAGGAGTCAGACTATATTTGATGTAAGTCACTGAAGTAAAGGTCGATGGCTGTTCTGTTCTGCGAGCAGATGTCACTGATTGATCTGTTGGAGAGCTAGATGGCTGTTCTGTTCTGCGAGCAGATGTCACTGATTGATCTGTTGAAGAGCTAGAAACGAGTTGGAATGATATTAACAGCAAAACGTACATTTCAAGAATTCACTACGCCATGTGTAGCACAACTGTAAAGATTGTGAAATAAAACCAAACTCCAGCTCTCACAAGTTCGTGGCGTCGATATGACTGAGCACAATGTCCATAGTTTTTCTAATCTCATAATGGCCTTTGTTTTAATCCTTGGTATAAGGGGAGTTAGCAACGGGTTTACTTGCCACAATGAAGCAGGAACCCTCTGCTTGCAATGCTCATGAATAAAGCTTTGTTTTGTCATTGGTCTGGGTACCTGATTTTACCTCTATCTTTATGTTACATTGAAAAGATCTCACATGAGGAGTCTTTAACATTCTCTGACAGATTACATGCTTCTTTTAGGTACACAGAACAGCACAGAGAATTGAAGAATTTGCTGGCAAAGCCCTTTGAAATTTTGAAAAGTATAAACGCCCAAAAGATTATGTTTATTTTTCACAGAGGCTACAAAAATGTCAAATTGAACGGTCACGGTGCAATTGGTTTATGGAGAAGAATTCTTTCAAAAATAAAAACTGTATATCTTCGGTCCAGGAAATATCATATTTTCAATACTACCAAATACATATACATAATTTAATGGCAGTTTCAAAGTCAATGCACCTCTTCATTATAAATTTTGATTCAAAGAAATAGCTCATTTTACTTTTTGTTACTCATGCTTTAAACATGATTAACCTGGAATAATTTTTCAATTAAAACACGTTACGTTTTTTTTGCTATCTAGAATATATTGCTTACTAACTGAGTAATAACTGAGGGTCAGAAATAATTTCAATAACAAGTGTTTTCAAGTTCAATTATTTATCGTTCATTCGGTCTGTAATAAAGCAGAATCAAGTTAGAATGAATCACAAAATTGTGAATATCACGGTGTACTGAGTCCTGCTCATTTAGAAATGATTAAAATAAAAATAAAAATATGGTATGTAGGTATTAATATATCCAAAGAGTTACTTTAAGGATAAAACTTTTATTTTTATAAATATAATTTATAAATATAATTGAGGGTCACAAATACATTTTCCATTTACTGTCCTACCGTTCTGTGATGAAGCAGAATGTAACCACTTGAATACAGCTCAACACAAAAGTAACTATCACAGCTTGGTGACTGCTCAGGAACGAGGCTACAATAGCGCCAACTGCAGCGCCCACCATGGCACATCCAGACATCACCCCCGCCCCCAGAACTAGCCGCTCCGTCCCAAAGTAGTGCTTATCAAACTCCATGAGGCTCAGTTCACACCTCGTTACACAAAAACACATGTTACATATCCCCATAGCAACCACTGTGACAATCAGGCTGTGGTCCAGGAAAATGAGACTCAGGTAGCAGGATGCGATGATAACAGAAAGAAGAGGCTGCAGGGTTCGGAAACTCACGTACTTTAAAAGGAAGATGCCGAGAATCCCGCCAATTAGAGCCGTGAGCCGGCTAGCCGACGGCAATCGGCTGGCTAAGAGAAAAAATCGGCTGGCTAGCCGGCTAAGCTGGCTAAAACTGGGAATGCCCAGCAAACCCTACCGGCCGGGGAATATCTCCAAAAGTAAAATAGATAGAACCTTCCGGTTTTCAACAAAATGTCCGTCTCGTAAATTTAAAGGAGGCTCCCCAGAAGCACAATTTGGGACAACTTTGATTCTGAATTAAAGCGAAAAGTTTGATTTTTGGCTAAATAAAAGATCGCAGCTTTTAAACTTTGCAAAGTCATGTCGTTGTCATGACTACTAAACTAAATGCAGCGTGTGAAAGGTAAACTCTATGTGACGCGCGACGCCAAACGTGCTGTTGAAAATCTATCACCTCTAGCATCTAGCAAGCCCAGCAGGCGGTAAGGTTTTCTGGGTAGGCGAGAGAGCAGAGAGTTCATAGTTCAGCTGCAAAAGAAAGCAGAAGGAAGGGGGGGGAGAAGTGGAGGGGGAGTTGCAGGGAGGTAGGGGGATGTTTTAGACTTATAATTTCGGCGGAAATGTATGAAGTTTTTAAAGTCGTTTTTGACGGCGAAGATCGCGTTTTTACCTACTCATCCAAGAGTCCCCTTTCTTGTTGGCGAAATTCTCTACTTTCTTTTGATATTTTTAAATTGAAATTTGACTTGATTGGTGTGTGGTGGAGAGTTATGGTTTGTCAAAGTGAAAGTTTTAAAATGAAGCGCAAATTCTTTTGAACGCGCATAGGTTCGGCCCAGCAAACCCTACCGGCCGGGGAATATCTCCAAAAGTAAAATAAATAGAACCTTCCGGTTTTCAACAAAATGTCCGTCTCGTAAATTTAAAGGAGGCTCCCCAGGAGCACAATTTGGGACAACTTAGATTCTGAATTAAAGCGAAAAGTTTGATTTTTGGCTAAATGCAGCGTGTGAAAGGTAAACTCGATGTGACGCGCGACGCCAAACGTGCTGTTGAAAATCTATCACCTCTAGCAAGCCCAGCAGGCGGTAAGGTTTTCTGGGTACTATTGACTATATCCACCAAATTTTTCGGAAAATTTAATTTAAGTCCAAATACAAATTAAAACATAAAAGGTCCTTAAAAATTTTCAAAATGATCTTATTCCAAGAACCGAACATATGACGGTATATTAATAATACGACCAACATCAAATTACACGACTTTTACTTGTCATACGTTGTATGACACGCCGCGCACGAGTGCGCGGCTCCCCCTGTATCGTCGAAACTCTACAGTGAAGCGACCGTGGGGGTCACCACGTGATACAAACTTTTACACTTTGCACTTATTGAAGCTCCAAAAGCCTTGTAGTGCGATGCGTTACTGTGCCGCGCCGCGCACTCAATGAGGCTTCTCACAGCTAGATCGGCGAAATGCGCTACTGTGCCACGCCGAGCTGCGATGAATTGACATAGTCAATTAACCAAAAGCCGCGCATCATTAAATTTGGCACCGAGACGAAAATCACTAATCATTCCAAAAAGGTATAATAACAAATAACATCAAAAATTACATCGAGAAACCTGGCTTCAGTTTTACCTGGCTTTTGACGGATGTTACTCGTCTAAATTTCTTCGAAGTAGCGCGCGAAATGTTATGGCCAGATGGCAAATGCTACGAAGTAGCGCGCGCCGGGCCAGACCATTAACAATGGTCAACCTGGCTTCAGTTTAATAATCAATAATACTAATAAATGATTTAAATTTGTATATTATAGTGGCACAAAAACTTAAAATGCACAGGTGTGCCACAAAAAGAGTTCAGACTTCAGGACACAATAAAACCTGACAAAGCAACCCACATTTATATTCTAAACCAGGCAACGGTATTAAACTTAATACACTAACCCCCACCCCCTATAGCTAATTACGTAATATGTGAACGGCCACTAAATAAACATTAATGTGTTACATGCATTTTCCAGTATACAAGTTTAAGGAAAAAGTATTTAAATAATCTGGTCCCATACTATCAACACTTATGAATAAGGAGCAACAACTTGTACTTATAACTTAATTATGTAACTGAGAATACTTTCTTGTATATTTTCGATAGTTTTTAATATTGGTAATGTCAATGAATTGTAATTGATTGATATGTAATATTTAGGCCCGTGGCCAGTTTTCAAAATTATGTAACTGATAGGCAGCCAATAAAGGTCTTTCAGAGTATCTCCTAGATGATCATGTTTGTAAAGTCTTAATTGACGATGTCAATTCTTCGCAGCTCGGCGAGGCCCAGTAGCGCATCTCGCCGATCTAACGAGAAGCATAATTGGATGAGCGTCGCAGCCCAGTAACACATTGCGCAACAAGTAAAGTCCTACTACAGCTTTAGCAGCAGCATTCTGAACGAGAAGTTAATTATCCACCGTGCGGATGTTTCTGTTAATTGACTGACCATGACCCTTGCCATAAGTTCTTGAACATTCCTCACTTATCTACCTGCTAATCCGGTGTATTTGTAGTGTTTTTATAATATATACATGCTGAAACATTGGAGGACTTATCCGCTTCGACGCGCCGCGCAAACTATCAGTCTTACTTCGCATCGAAGTAGGACCTGACTAGATCGTTGCTCTGTTAATTTGCAGAGCAACGATCTGGAAGGGTTGACATCATCTTGCAAGCTGAAACAGTATCTTGTGCCTTTTTTAAAATATTGTATTTGATAATAATTCACAAATAGTTAATGTTGTGATGATGTGATGTCATAAATTTTACTTTACTTTCCTCTCAAAATACTCTTAGCATTTTATCAACTCACAGATACATTACAATTTGTGTTTCTAGTCAAAAGAATCAAATGCTTTTCATGTTACTCCTGCTTAGTACTATTATCATTTATCAGGTTCATTATATAAAACAAGTGGAGCTGTGGTAGCAAGTTCAATATTCATATAAAAATCTGTTTGTAAAACTTTAATTATTATTTGGATGTTATAGTACTCAACTCTTTGTAGAATAATTCTTGTAGGTGATGGCTTGTTCCAGGCTTGTGAATAAAGTTGCTGTTGTTACAGGATCCTCTGCTGGAATAGGATTCTCAATTGCTAAACGTCTTGCTTATGAAGGAGCAAGTGTAGTGATATCAAGTAGAAAAGATGAGAATGTTCAGAAAGCAGTTAGTCTGTGTTTGGATGAAGGACTTGATGTATCTGGAGTTGTTTGTAATGTATCAGAACCAGAAGACAGAGAAAACCTAGCTAAGCATGTCAATGAAAAGTATGGCAAAATGGACATTCTTGTTAGTAATGTTGGAACCAACCCCCACTTTGGACCTGTCAATATGTGTGATGAGAAAACATGGGGTAAAATTTTCTACAACAATGTGACATGCAGTGCACTCCTTGCTGCAAAGTTCACTCCATTTTTAGCTCAATCTGGTAATGGAAACATTGTTTTTGTATCTTCGGTTTCTGGATTCTGTCCCATGCCCTTTATTGGAGCCTATTCTGTTAGTAAAGCAGCTTTAATGTCCCTCACAAAAGCTTTATCCGTGGAGCTTGCGTCCGCTAATGTCAGAGTAAACTGTATAGCTCCTGGTATAATTGAAACCGATTTCAGTTCTGCTCTTACAAGCAATCCAGAAATTTTGAAAAAGACCCTTAATAATGTACCAATGCGGAGGGTAGGAAAACCAGATGAATGTGCGGGAGCTGTTGCCTTTTTAGTTTCTGATGATGCCAGCTATATAACTGGAGAAACTGTCAAAATGGATGGTGGAATTCCGGTCAGATTTTAGATTTCAGTTGAGAGATTCCTAAAATTAAGTTATGTGAAATTAATAACTGCAATTATTAGTATGTATATTGGATGTAATGCATACAACTCCTACTTTATGTGATTACATCAAGTGATTAAATTAAAGATTTATGTATCCTTTAATTAGATACTTTAATATCAAAGATATATGTAGGTTGTTTTTAATTTATATGCTTGAAAGCAATAACTTTATAATTTGTTTTTTAATTTTACTGTGATTATCTATTTTCAATTTCCATTGTCCAATTTGAATGTAATGGATTTAAAAATAACAAATAATTAAATTTCGAAATAGCGCTCTTATCAGTATGGTTTTGTTGAATCGATGTGAAATTATTTAACCAGCTATTACAGAATCATATCATATTTTATTAATCTGTTTTTACTTCCAATTTTTTACTTCAAATTCAAATCATCACATTCTCAAATTTCCATTAGGAGTCAATGCGGGTAATAAAGAAACTCTTACAATCCAGACCAACTAGAACCCAGCATACCCTTTCAAGGTTTCTCTCAGACTTTGTCAAGATCGTTGAAGTTGGACCTCGTGATGGCTTACAGAATGTTAAGAGTATTGTCCCAACCGAGATAAAGGTGCAGCTTATAGATAAACTGTCTCTCAGTGGACTCAAGTCTATAGAGTCTACTAGTTTCGTCTCTCCAAAGTGGGTCCCTCAGCTAGCAGATGGTAAAGAAGTTATGTCAAGAATATCTCGGAACCCTGATTGTGTGTACCCTGTACTTGTACCCAACTTGAAGGGACTGGAGAGTGCTTTGACTTGTGGTATTACTGAAATAGGAATTTTCACAGCAGCATCTGAAGCTTTCTGCAAGAAAAATATCAACTGCTCAATTGAAGAAAGCTTTGAGCGATTTGCTCCCACTATAGAATTGGCAAAAGAAAATGGCATTGCTATTCGTGGTTATGTGTCTTGCATTGCAGGATGTCCATATCAAGGTCATGTTGATCATGGAAGCGTTGCTAAAGTTTCTCAAAAACTGTTAGAAATGGGCTGTTCTGAAATCAGTTTAGGGGATACAATCGGAGTGGGTACTCCAGGAAAAATCAAAGAACTATTGCAAGCGATACTGCCACATTTACCAGTGGAAAACTTAGCATTACACATGCACGATACTTATGGGCAAGCCGTTGCAAATGTTTATGTCGGACTTGATCATGGTATTCGAGTTTTTGATAGCAGTGTTTCTGGATTGGGAGGATGTCCTTATGCTCAAGGAGCTAGTGGAAATGTTGCCACAGAAGATTTGCTATACATGTTACATGACAATGGTTGTGACACTGGTGTTGATATCGATAGTGTCATAGAAACTGGACATTTTATTTCGGGCTTCCTGGAGAGAATAAATGGTTCTAAAGTTGGAATCGCTAAAAATCCTAGATCCTAGCTTAATTCTTTGTGTTGAATACTTTTGTTAGAGATCAGCTTAGCTGTTTAGGTAATATATAAGAACTTTTTGGTTTGCAAATTTGATACTCTTTTTGTTTTTATTACTTTGAATTATTATTATATTGTATTCTGTATAGATAGATAATTTATTATCCAAACCTTGGAAATTTGTCCTTATATCGTCTCATATTTTCAAAAACAGGGCAATTAGTCTGACACGTTTCGTTTAAGAAACACAGTTCTGATCATAAAAACCAAGATTATATTACAATTAGAAATCCATTATATAAAATACACAGGTACCTGGTACACACACTTAACCATGTATATCCGATAGATGGAGGTATAAACTATGTGAGATGTCAGGAACTAAACAGTTTAAAGTAGTCCTCCTTGGGGAGGGTTGCGTGGGTAAAACCTCTCTCGTACTCAGATATTGTCAGAACACATTCAACGATCACCATCTATCTACTCTTCAGGTTTCATTTTACCTTATTTTTGTATCAAAAAGGTTCACTTTTAAGTTTTAACGGCCTAAACTTTCTTCTGAAATTCTCACTTCATTTGCGCAACAAATCGCAAAATGTAACAACTAACAGTCAAATGTAACAACTTACAGGCATCATATCAAGACAAGAAGTTAAACATTGGAGGACAGAGGGCACATTTATCAATATGGGTAGGTGGAAATGTTTTATCACGTCACCAGCACTTTCACTAGAGTCAACAGCCCTTTCACTGTAGTCATCAGCCCAATCACTGAAGTGTACAGAAGTACAGTTGTGGAACACAACAAGAAAATTGAGGATAATCATGTGCGAGGGTAGGGACCCAGATGTCGTTTCTAACCCAAATAAACTTTAAGGAGGCTTCTCATCAGTAGCCGCACCTCCTTATTCGGTTTCTGAACTGGAATTCTATTGGCTTCCAGGCGGCCAGACCGAGTATTACCATCCCATCCTTCTAGAGTTCATCACAAGTAGCACCCACCTTGAAGATATTTGACACCCAGACACACCCCATTGGCGAACAAACTTTGGATGTAATCTTACATGCTCCCGAAGGAATCCCTGGTTTATGGTCTTTCTCATCGTCACCAGCACTTTCACTAGAGTCACATATAATAAAGGTCTCGACAATAGTATCAAGATCCCCGACCGTTTTGTAATATATACAGGGGGGAGGGCAAAAGTCAGTACCCATACGTTGGCCTTAATAGCTAAGTCACTGAGTGCCCAATTGAAATAATTCTTCTGGTATGACTTACTACCACCACTGGTTCGAGGAATTTGTCAAATCGAAAATTATTCGTGTTCATTTTTCAAATGAAGGTTCATTTTCGCATTTATTTGATAGTTTGGATAGTCGGATCGAGCCAAATTTTATTGAATTGTTTTTGGCCATTTAAATTACGTTTGTCCTGAGAGATATGAAGCATATCGAGTTTGTTTATTACGTGTGATCAGGTGATTGGGTTAAGGCTAGATCTGCATTATGGGAACCGTGCATACAGCCCAATTACGGTGTCGTAATTGGGTAATCATTGATTACCCAATCAATTTTGCTAACGAGATAAACAAAATGCTTGATAACTTCGTTATTTTAAATCTGTTTCGCACCATCTTTTCAGATTATATTCCGGATTAAATGACCTATTGCAATATGTTACAACGGAGTCTCTAGCATGTTCACAAACACGAGTATAAGCAATTCAATGTTGATTGGGTGTGGCCCCCAAAAATCTAATTTTCAAATTTTGGTGACGGAATCCTCGAACAAGTAGGTACAGTATGCCATCTGCAAAGCAACAACTCTCAAATATAAAACACGGCGGTGGAATAAGACCCAACGTATGGGTACTGACTTTTGCCCCCGTCCCCCTCTCCCGGCCCCTGTATAATATATATATATATGTGTATATGCTGTAATGCTATTTAATATTTACGTTATATTACGAGCGGAGCTATGCGGTCAGAGCTATCATTATTTAATGTTGCTAATGGAGGGTTGCAGCCTTCCAGTATACGCATACTGAATAGTTCCTGCTGCCGTTTCTTAAGTATATTTGTGCTTCCTATTATCCTATAACCATTACTCAGCGTTCGTTTACATCCATATTCTATACGATACTCAGTAATGTAACCTTTTAAAAAACTGTATGAATATTTCCCAGAATTGTGGCGTACGCCCCATAGTTTGTCAGTGTGTGATCCTTAATTCGTATAACTCTTAGGACACAGCTGGACAAGAAAGGTTTCACGCTCTCGGACCTATCTACTACAGAGACAGGTTTCATTTCTTCACACTTTATTGTTCACTTTATTGTTCATTTAATCATCATTTTATTGTTCACTTTATTTTTCACTTTATTGTTCACTTTATTGTTCACTCTATTGTTCACTTTATTGTTCACTTTATTCATCATTTTATTGTTCACTTTATTTTTCACTTTATTGTTCACTTTATTGTTCACTCTATTGTTCACTTTATTGTTCACTTTATTGTTCACTTTATTGTTCACTTTATTGTTCACTTTATTGTTCACTTTATCATCGAATTTGTTCTGTAGTCTGAACTCAAAGGAGCAAACTGATTTCCATGACGAATGTTAAAATGTTGTGCTACGTGGTTCGATGACTTCTACATCGAAATGAAATTTGACCTTGAAATCGATAAATTTAGAACAGTGGTTTCGAATTTCGACAACTGAGAGGTGTCTAAATGCATAATCTTACACGATATACATGATAAACGTCATAGATATAATATACAGTATTACTGGATTAGTTAAAGACCAATTAACTTTAATTGCGTTAAGCAAGCCATACAGCTTACAGCTAGAGATTATTTTAGAGACAAGAGAGGGTTTAATTGAGAGATAAGAGTTCTATTTTATCAGCGAAAATTTCTGACTTAAAATATTGTGTACTTTCTATCATGCAATTCATCATACTTGTAATATAAGAACTTCAGATATATTCAGCGATCTTTCTTCGGTGATCTCGAAATTGCCAGTAAAATACTGAGTCACCACTTTCTACTCACATTAATATCTCCTCAGTAATGGAGCCATCCTAGTGTACGATATCACGGATGAAGACAGTTTTGTGAAGGTGATTGGTTGTAATATCTGATATGAATTTATGTAAAATGCAATCTCTATCTTGTATTATTTCTAAAGAATTCCTCAGTTATCAGATGACGTCATACACCATGGTGTATTTAATATAATCAGTGTGTATTTAATATCAGCACGTATAAATAGCGAGAAGATTAAATTAGAAATCAAATGAATGAAGGAGGTTGCGGTCGGGTGGGAAGAATTAATGATTTGAATCCACAGGTTAAGAATTGGGTTAGAGAACTGAGGAAGATGCTGGGAGATAACATAGAATTGTGTATCGCCGGAAACAAGATTGATTTAGAAAAAGACAGAAAAGTTGACAAAGCCACAGCATTGCAGTAAGAAACGTGTTTAAGACTTTCATCACCTTTAAATTTCCAACACATTTCCTCGACACTCTAAAAGTTGATTTTGAAGGTGGTAATTGTTAATCATTTTACTAATAAATCATTTGCCTTTTTATAGATGTTTTGATCTGTCATTTAACGCTGATCCATCCCTAGATACTCGCAGTCAGTGGGAGCTAAACATTACGACACTTCAGCGAAACTTGATAAGGGTGTCTCAGACATGATGCTCGATCTAACAAAGCGTGAGTTCCAGTGCAGGAATTATACTTGGGTAGTTTGGCTGAAGACCATAATATGACCGCTCTTACGTCATCATTCGCCAATTCATGGAATGTACCACTTCCGCATTGGCGACTCACATGAGTTCCGACCTGAGCGCTATCAGCTAAGGATTATTTGTAGACGACGTAGCGCTGAATTGTAATTACGCGCGTTGCGCGCCAGAACAGCGATTTCCGGTATTTTAACCCGAAAGGACTGCCTTTGATTTTCAAAAGTCGCCTTACTATACGGTCTACACCCCAACAACACGCCATTTCGACTCCCTGATGGCTCCAATTCAAGTGCCAATTTAACTCGGTTTCCCAGCACAGATTATTATCTTATCGCAAGGATTTTAATCCCGAGAGGCTAAAGGATTTGTTCTAGGATCCAATAGGAAGTTTAAATCCTATGGGATCCGAGAGAAAATCCTAGCGGCGATAGGAATTAGAGATTCCTAGAAAGAAAGACTTGTATACCGAAGTTCTAGTCTCTAGATAGCAGATAGTGGCGCACACTGCACTACGCTGTTATCTAATCTTTCTTCAAGGAAATAACATCACATTATTGGTATCCTTTGCCAAAAATGTTTCCCCTTCGACTGCATGGAGAATATTTATCGCAGACAAGAAACTAACTGAGCGGGGACTCACTCCTTTTACCTCAGGTATGTTGGCGGTAGCTGCTACAGAGAAGCCTACATCTAACGGTCGATCAGGTGGCCGTCCCCGTCCACCAGTTGTTATTGTCGACGATGAACCTACGGATAACCAGCGGTCAGGCGGTTGCTGTTGAAACCACCAACTTTGGACAATGGATAGAATTGTTCCATTTCTTTCCACACACATTAACCATGCCTACTCTCTATAACATGATGTATTTTATTGTTTTCCTTTTCGGGATTAGGCTGGAACTAATTTTTTGAAAAGTTTTTGAAGTGTTTGTTTGCTTATTATTGATTCAAGTTGAAGTCTAAATCTTTGTTAAATTCAGTGTTTTATTTCTCAGTCTCTTGCTGCAGGCACGAGGAGGCTAGCTATTTTAGCGAATTTTAGTTATTTTGTCGTTACTAGCTCAAAGACTACTCTACATCGCGTGACTTAGAATTAGATATGAAACATCCATCATCTATTAGAACCATGGCAAGGAAACCGTGACAAATATTACAGTACATCACGTCCCACCTGCCAGCAGCAGCTGATACCAAAAGATTCACATTTATAATTATGAAAGATTCAAATAGTTATGTGTGAAAATTAGTACAAAATACATCGGACATACCCGCTACGAAAACACCCGGGGATAATTCTTATTAATTAAGTTTCGTATAACTCAGTTTAGCAACAAAACCGAGTCTCAAAGGGAGTGTTACATAATCAACTTTAATTCGTAATTACATTACAAAGTCCATTTATGTTTAACTTAAAAACAAAAGTACATTTATACTGAAAATATATTATATAAAATCAGTTATTTAATGTTGAAATAGATACACAAAATGTTATATCTTCTAGCAGTCTAGAGTAAACAGTCGTTGAATGATTTGCCTTCTTCATGCAAGAAAGTGTCTAAGAATTCTGAAGCGTCTCTTTTTGAAGCAAACCACAAGCCCCACCAACACTAAACCACACAAGCTAATCAGAGTGAGGTTAGCAAAGGACCAGGTAACTAGTTCCTGAGGAAGGGAGTGTAGCTGGTGCCGCAGGGTTAGGGTTAGCACTATCAGGGCCAGTGCTGTCATGTGCTCCGAGCAGGAATCTGTGGAGGGAATTAAACTGGTTAAACTCTTAATAACACTAAATAACAAACATGCATACTTCTTGTTTTATAAACAGACTATGAGCTTATGGATTGAGTAAATGATAATAAGAGGAACCAGTTACCGATATACTCTATAGTCTAAATATTAAGACCAACCGTCAATTATTTCATCAGCAAAGAGTTTTCTTCCAATATAATTGGTCTGGTTCTTGAGATCTGGTGGAGTGAGTGTATCGTCATTGTAACACCCAGTAGAGTCCTGCCACAACATCAGAAGTTCTAGTATCTTTGATCTGTAAAACTCCCTGTAATTTAACATCTGCCCGATCATGACCATCTCCGTGAACAAATCGTACCTGTTGGATACCATACTTTAATAAATATCAATCATATACAATGAGTTGAGAATCGAATAAAAACATAGTAGGGATGTTTCACTCTGAATTCTAAGTGTGATACATTGTACCGAGAATCTAATTAATCTATAAAGTACATATTTATAATTTTTTTCCCTTTTCTTCAAACCTTCCAGAATCTAGTATTGAGGGAAGTCTCTGGAAAATTTTAGCTGTGAAAGTCGTCTCCAATTCAATAACCGAGGTGTCTTGTATCAAAGTAACTCTCGCTAGTTCTTTGCTGCAACCACGCACCTGCGTGTGTCGTCGGTAACACTACTGTCTCATCGCTATGGCAACCATTTTTGCGTTGTCATAGCAACGTGAATAGTCGTGTTTTCCAATGCGCGGTTGTAAGCCTCAGAAAATGGGATAGGCATGGCATCGGCAGAGAGATATTACATGAAAAGTACATTGTCATGGCATTGCAATCCGGAGGAAATTTTAATTATTGAAGCTGACACTTCAAAATGTTCATGTATGTTCTATTATTACGTAGCGAACTAGACTGCATGCATATATCATGGTCTGTCAAATGTCAATGAAATCTACGAACTGCCTGACAAAACCGCTCGTGTACAGCAAATTAAAATCATTCGGCGTTCGCGCGCAACGTCAACACATGCAATATGCAGTTGTACAAGTCGTTTGTACAAGTTCTTTGTCCTCAGTCTTAAATTGTGAACTGAATACTGATAAAAGACAAATGCTGCCTTTAGATTCATTACGTAAATAAATAAATTCTCATAACAATGGTTAAAATCACACCTGAGCAAGAATGAGGTACAAGAGCTGATGAGTTAGTTGATAGTCCTCTGATTCTCGATTAGTCATCTGTTTGTAACACTTTCTACTGATCGTGCATGCGGGGGTTTCTGGTTGGGGTTTCTGGTCAACTGTTATTAGTATTGACAGTCGAACAAGAATCAAAGATGGCATCTTAAGTCTTAACCTTTATCACTCATCATTATATTATTAACTACAGACTATTCTTACATCGTCTTATGATGTCTATAATCATTATGATTATCTAGGATACAAGGATACAAGGATACAAGGATACAAGGATACAAGGATACAAGGATACAAGGATACAAAAGTGATAATTATTTTAATTCTGAAATAATTTAAAGTTACACGGGAACTAGAACGAACACCGATGCAACATTAACATTAGAATTGCAACACGATTCTAGTTATTTACAAATGTGTAGGGATAAAATAGAAATGTTTTATAATACTATTTTTCTTTGAATAGATCGAATTTGTAGAGTTCGATCTTATTTTGAGGTCCTATAGCATTATGTACTGGCCAGTATTTGAGTGGAAATCTGGGCTCTTATAGTAGGCTGTAAATTGTTCGTTCACAGAGAGAATTGAATGGATTGCTCTTGCTGTGGCAGTAAATTTTGTAGGGTCTAGAGTTTTATCGGATAGCAAACCGGCTAGGTCAGTGATATTTTTGGGATGGAAGTAAATTTTTGTCTCTAACTGAGGAGTAGAGTAAACATGTAATGTACCTGAGTTATTTCAAAACATGGTCCAATACTTAACGTGTCATAAACATCTGCAAGTTTTTAAAGACATTTTTAAATATTTAAATAAAGTTTTCACTACCATTTTTGCAAAATACCTTCAGTGCCGAGTATTTCTCTCATACAACCATCACTCTGCTGCTCGGAGAAAGTGGGATCTTGTTCTATCGGATCTGGAAAGCGGGGGATGGAACCAAACCTCCGCTCCGTCGAGTAGTGGGAGGAAATGTAGTACTTAGTATCAACCAGGCGCTGGAACTTCTTGAAGTAGCTGAAATGTGTTGACTGTTGTGTCACTTTAAATGTCACGTGCATATTATGTAATTAAACTTTTAGTATTTTATATTTTCTAATACTCCTTGTTTGACTATTACAAGAGCTGTGATGCACTGTGCAGGTACTCAAATTTATCATATATATTAAATAAAACATCAGTAGTGGATATATTTAAGGTGGGCGTGTATTCAGAGGCAGCCGTTTAAATGAAAGTAGCACCCTTACAATCAGATCAATCAGATCAACACGCAATTCCACTCACTCGTTATCAGTATCATTTTGCATATCGTAGAAGGCGAGAGAAGCGAGTCTGTCCACTTTATTTTTCAGTAGATGTATTTGAGTAAGGATATCCAGGCTCCATGTGTAGGACTGTGGATTCTGGCACAACATCTCTAACTCACCTTCAAACAATATTAATGTATACCAACTAAAATCTCTAATCAAAAAGAAATGTTTGCTATCTTAACTATAATTAAATCATCAACTTCGAAGATGAAGAAAAAAGGTACGTTTTTGATCAAAGCTGCGGACTACATATTTGGTACCTTGAGCGACACGAATGCCGAATAGGAAGTCCACGATAAGCAGATAGTGATGAGCTTTAGCCCAGCTGACTAGATCATCCAAAGCCAGGCAAGTCTCTCTAATCTCAGAGAACTTATTTGCATTGTAGAGGGAAGGAGTGAGGAGAAGGAGCAGTGCTACATAGCGCCACATCGCACCGCCTTATTTGATCCGTCATTTTTACATTGCTAGCGCTCTCCTGTTTTTTGTAGAATTACATGTGCTGAGTGTGACGATTGTATGGTTAAGATTATCATTAATAACATTTAGCTGTTTAATTCTAGTGCAGATCCCCAGAAAACATGGGGTTTCAAGGGGAAGGAATAAGGATTTAATGGGTTTTTTGAAGTGGAGAAAAGTGAGATTTAAGAGTTGTGCATTTTAAAGATTATTTATTATGTATTCTAATTTGAGAGCAAAACTGAGCGCTGCCTTTAAAGTTTAATGCAAACCTGACCGGTGGTTATTGGTAAACAGAGGGCCACTAATAATCTATTAGTGGTTTTAAACATAGAAATAGTAACATAATATTTCTTCATTGCTGGAATCAAACGTTTCCAAAGAAACATTTAAGCACCATCTGCACTGCACCATTTCAATCATTTGCATCCAAATTTGTGCAAAATGTGCACCATCACTTACTGGGAATAAAGGAATCGATCCCACAACGCGAAGGGACAATGGACATACTCATAAGTCATAGCCTTCTTCTCATCATAGCCTATTGATGTATGATAAAACAATTAAGATATTTAAATCTCAAAGCATGAAACAAAGGCTTGCTTTATGAGTTAATGGAGCACTGCATAGTCTCAGACCACCCTAAAAGATCTATAAAAGGGGAATGCTTCAACGAGGAATTTAGTTTTTAAAAATCTTTCTGTGCATTCACAAAATGATGAAGCTGTTGTTGACTGTACTTCTATTCACCGTAGTTTTGATCAGTTATGCAGATGGTCAGAAAAAGAAAGGCAAGGGCAAGGACAGAGCCTTCGTTCTCTTCGACAACGAATTGGAAGGTTTGCATTTTTTCAAATATTTTTAGAAATTTTGTATCTTGAGTGAAATTAGCCCTGCATCTCAGCATGAGTGTCGGACTGTTTGTAAACGTTTTGGAGCAATAATTTTTTAATCATAAATCAATCTTAATTCTGAAAGATTGATTATTTCAGCCGAAGTAGAAGATAATATGGAGACCGCCGGATTTGAAAGTCTGGTGAAAAGAGAAGGTCCTGGAAGGAAAAAAGCACATGTATTGTTCGAGAAAGAAGATCAGTAAGACAGTATACTGTGTTAATCAACCGAGATCAGAGATTCGTGGAATCGTGATAAATCAGCCAATGGGAAGCAGAAAAAAGTGCAGCTAAGACACTTACATGCCGTCTCAAGAAACACTAAACAGTGACTGAATTACTGATTTTCAGTTTTGAAATGCATTTGCAAATTTAAAACAAGCGGTTTTTTATTTTCCTTTGTAACTCAAATTAAACATTCATGAATGGATAAAAATTGAGTAGACAAATGTGCTCCAATGGAAGTAACAATTCCTGGACAGAAAAAAGAGTAATGAAAAACTAACGTTTTTTTGCGTACAAAATAGCGTGTCAGTTAGAAACGTTGAAAATTTTGTATTTTGTTCAACAAATGTTGTTGCCTAAAAAGTTACTACCAGACATTAACGAACTCCTAAATGCAGCTCTGAAACTTTTCAAAATCCGAACTATTTCGTAAAGTCAGAATTAAAAAAGTCTGTAAAGCTGTAAGTGATAAGTGATAAGCCATGTCGTACCCAGGAAAACTACATTGTAGCTAACTGCAAGATGTTTTGTGGCAGGTGCGGGACTTACGATGTGGACCCCTATTTTGAGTAATAGATGACTCACAACATATGTTTGAATATGTAATGAGGCAATCAAAACATGATCTAATTATATGCGATGATCCTACAAAAAAGGTGATATCTCGTCATTTTTATTTGTTTCGCTGGTTTTCGCCTAATAACGCACTGTTTACGCCTAATAACGCAATTTAAGACATTGTTTAGTATCCACAAAGAGCAGAAGATGAAATATTGCAGTAAAAAGATTTTTAAAGGCCCCATGGTTTCCTCCCAAACCCACCCTCGTAAAAATGAAACAAAATTACATCTGAAAAGTGGGAAACGTTTATAAACAGATTGTTTGGGAATATGTACAAAATGTTATATGTACACAGGTACTCGTTGCCATGGTTACCGAATATTGTGAAAAACAAAACGATGTTGTGTCGCATCAAGAAACAAAGTAGCCAAATCAAAGTAGCAAATAACTGAAACAAATAACGTTAAAATACTGGTGACCGGTAGTGGTATATGTAATTAAATACATGTATACATATAAATAATAAATATGGATGGTTACAACCTGATTTTGTATTTCTGAAAATGATGGACATGAACAAAAATCAGCCATCAAAACTGGAGTGATAAACTGGGATAGGCAAATTCATCATCATGAAACAGTTATGGTAGACTGTTCTTGTAATAAGGCATTGTCTCCCGTCTGAGCTCGCAGAACTTCGAGATCTCTTTTGATCGGTTCGTTGTCAGGCGATAACTTGGAGGCTAGCTCGTAGTCTTCCAGAGCTGAAATACGTTTTAATTAAATGAGACCGTGAAAAATATCAAAAGATGGTGCTCTATTTAATAAATGTTTTTGTGAACATCGTTGGTTTTGATATGAAGTACAATTGAATTAATGAATTTATTACAATTAATTAATTAAATACGCTGCCGCATTATCCTACTCATTGCCTGAAGTCTGGTCCCCATTAAATTTATGCCTGCTGCAAAAGATTACACTGCTATCTCCGGAACGGATAGATAATGGCCCATAATGACATTACTGTTCCACGGTCATGTGATACGTACAGGTGGTGTTGTCAGTTGTAAAGATAAGACGGTCAAGTTCTCTAATTTCACCGGAGTCCGGAACATTATTTGTTAGCACAAAGTATGAAATGTTGATCGTTTGAAATTTCTTGTGATCACGTTGTCGCGACAAAGATAACCATATTTTTGCAGGAAAAGTTTTAGCAGACGTTTCGTTTCATCATAACACTTTTGATTAAATTTACACATAAGTTCAAGTAATCTCAAGATGTAATATTATTATCTTATCAGTAATATCATTACCCATATATGACAAATTTATGAAATGTGATTTAGCTTCACAATCCCTTAGCATAATTTTCGTTGAACTGGCCCATATTCAATATTGACGCTTTCTTTCATCATAATATAATACAAATACCACCCATCTCCAGGGTGGGTGTCTCCTTATCTGTAAATACCGAAATGCTAAATTAATGAGATTATCCAACGAGTAATATTATCCGTGTAACCGGTTATTTCTAACGTACCACCGTCCATTTCGTTCAATGATGCTGAGTAATGTTCTAGTTGTTGAGCATCGTAACTTTTATTTGCTCCTTATTGTAATAGCTATATAATGTGTATCCAGTTTTATTCTGATTGGAGTCCTTTACTTTGATCAATGTTATCTCTGCAGATGGATTAAAGACGTCATGCCCGCATGTCACCGTACATTCATTAGCTGTATCCCAAGCTGGACATCCTAAAGGCGACTGGAGAGGACTCAGCCAAAAGAGTCTGATAATAAAAACAGATGATTTGTCGAGGGTATGGAGAGACACACAAACATAGAATGTTGGAGTCCTTTGACCAATGTCATCTATGTCTGTAGATGGATTAAGGTGGCCAGGCACCTGCAGAGCAAGTTCACGGTCCCAACTGTTACTTCAGATACCAACTAGCACTAACGTAGTTAGCATGGTGCAGCAGGGAATGTGTACAAACATTGCAGAGGTAGACGAGCATGAATCTTATAGAGTAATCAAATGGGAGGATCTGGTATCGAGTCATAAAATGGGAGGATCTGCTATCGAGTGATAAAATGCTATCGAGTCATAAAATGACTCGATAGCATAAAATGGGAGGAACTGGTTAAGCTTGAAAGGAGCGGGACAGTCACTCTATTTGTGGATGGATTAAGGTGGTCAGGCATCTGCAGAGCAAGTTCACGGTCCCAACCGGTATTTTATACTAACTAGCACAGCTGACGTGGTGCAGCAGGGAATGTGTACTAACATTGCAGAGGTAGACAAGAATGAGTCTTATAGAGTTATAAAATGGGAGGATCTGGTAAAGCTTGAAAGGAGCGGGACAGTCACTAAACTTATCTAGAAGAATATTTTGACCAATGTCATCTCTATCTGTGGATGGATAAAAGAGGTCAGGCATGTATCTTTGGATCATATTAACACCTGCAGAGTAAGCTCACGGTCCCAACTGGTACTTGATACCAACTAACAGATATGAATATTATGATAAAGTAGCCGAAGAAACAGCTGGAGATGTTAGGACGCATGAGGTTAGAGTTAAAATTAACGGAAGTTTTAAAGTAAAGAATAAAGAAAGGTTAAATGAAAAGTTTTCATATAAACCGTCTTTTAAGGCGAACTAACATTTTGAAGAAAATTCGGTGTAATTGTGTGTTTTATCTAAGGTGTCAAAGCTGTAAAATAACAATTGTTGAAATTATCAGCGTATATTGTTTGACTATTATAGCTAGAGGAGACGTCATGTCATGTGACAATTGTTTTTAGCACCGATAAGCAATGATTTGCAGAACTGATCTTAGAATAAAAATATTGTTACTATTGCTGCAATCTATTTTACACATTTTTATACATGATTGTTTTAGTTGATCTACCCTTGACAAATCTTAATAGAAACGAACTTCATCCTACACGCCAGGCCTGAAAACAAGCATGATTTTAGGCATAAAATAGAAGAATTTTAGAGTTAAATCTAACCTCTATTTAAAGATCCGAGCTGACAAAATGCAGAGCCCCGCTTTGCCAGAGTGCGCACCCTAGACAGTCGGTTAGCCTCGACAGGAGGTGTTAAGAGATCCAGCGCTCGAGTGCAGTCTATAACAGCATCATCATACAGGTTCAGAACAATGTAGCAAGATGCCCGGTTTATATACAGTTTAGGTAGTTTTGGAGAGATCTTGATAGCTTCCGAGTACGCATTGATAGCCGCAGGGAAGTTTCCCATTTTGTAGAATACACTGAAATTTAGTCATGAATAATTTTGCATCTCATCCAAATTATCAATTGTAATTATTCAATATTGATCTAAGGAACTAGCATTTACAGTTTAAGCCAAGAAAGAGCTACAGTTTGAACCTCATTTAACTCACCCAGCCTTGTCAGATAGCCACACAGGATTCCTCTCATCTTCTTTTGTGTCCGCATCTTTAGCCTTTAGCACTGTCTGTGCCTTGACGTTCTTTTCGAACCACTGCAATAAAACTGGATTATTAACGACAAAGTTGAACATGACGAAATGATATAATAGATTAGTAAGTATAGTTTTAAAACATAGTAATTGAGGTTCACGACATATATGATTGTTATGACAAACTCACAGCCTCTTCGTCAGCAGCAGTTGACTCCCTTGCAGCAGATGGGAAGAACCTGGGGGTGAATGATACAGTAATTTCTGTCTGTTGTCTTGGACCACTTGTCTCCCACATTGGTTTCTCCTCCTTACTAGGCTTTTTCTCAGCTTTTGTTTTGTCTTTGCCTGACTTCAAAGGATTTGCTAAATTGTGTTTAATCTTTTCAAATTTTCTGGCTCGTTCATCGGCTTCATTATGAGATAAATTGTCCTCTGCAACAGTAGATTTTGATTTTTCTGAGTCGGAAACTATCGTAGTATCGTTGCTGACATCTTCGGTTGTGTGGTCTTCACTTGCATTTGTCTCTAAATCCTCTGAAAAAAATATGTAAATTAAGTCACCATACCATGTTCCCATCACATTTCAATGGAATGACATGATTTTACAGAATACAACAGTATATAATGTATTATGATTTAAGGTAGAATTAAAGTGATTATATTGCAAGGGTACTACTTATAGTGACGTAGCTACAACTTGCAGGCTTTATGGTTGTCTTATCTAAGAAGTAGCACATAACATAATAATGATAGCATATGAATTATGAAAGAAAGTGTTTTTAAATCACTACACCAAGCCCCAACAGACATAGTAATCTAGTAATAGTAATAGTACTATGTTTACAGTATGCACTGAAGGGAAGTTTCTTGAACTTTTAACAGGTAGACATGTGGCGCAGATTTCATTCTACAAACCTGGTTGCCTTCGAGTTTTATTAGCCTTCAAGTATTGTCTCTCTTTCTCATCATCATCAAGGTTCTGCCATTCGTCCATCTCCTTGGCCACTTTATCTCGTTCTGCTTGCTTTACTGCTTCTATTCTTTCCTTTTCACCCGAATCTACCTTCATGACACAATTGTTTGAATTGTCAAATAATTATAGTAAGTCTTATTAATTATTATATTGCACCTGCAATACACAATTTAAAAACACGAAGGATTTAGTTATGTGCATATAGAATAGTATATTCATGATCAGATGATGTCTGTACTGGATAAGTATGAAAATCAGTGTAAAAAACATGGAATAATATTCAAGCTTACATCCATGGCTGTCCTCAAAGCCATTTTATTTTGCTCTGCTTTGACATTTGCCCTCTTGTCCGTGTCACTTTTTACTTTCTCCTCGTGATATTTGTACGCAGCTGCCACCAGTTCTTTCCTAAAACATAAACTAAGTTTAGCAACTGAAATTGCCTCGAAATAGACCAATTTGAAACCAATATAATTTGTAGAACATTTTTTACAAATATTATGTACATAATCATTAGAGTAGTATAATCATTACCTTCTAGATGAGTCTTTTGATGCAGGATTAACAAGGGTTTCCCATAGGATAGGTTCCTCTTTTATCAGATGTAATGTAATTGTATTATCTGCCATGACCACTCGTGTCTTACAGTCATCTATTTCATGTTTTAGGTGAACATCAAAAAAGTATGGACTGTAGTTAACCTGTTCAGAGAATTCATTTAATTATATTAAATGCAGATGAATGTTGTGGACATTGTAAAATAAATATGTAAATCTGTATAAAGGAAATAATAAACCAATTATCAAATTAAAAATTTCACTCCATTGCCAACCTACCTTTACATAGAGATTTGTGACCATTACATCAATCTTATTGCTTCTAATTCCTTTCTGAGGTAAACTCAAGTCTAATCGAGTTTCTGACTCTGTCCACTGATAATCTTTCATTATTATCGGCATCTTTCCAAGGTGTTCAGCAGCGACACTACTAGCTAAAATTCATATTATTGATTTAATGATTTTGAAGACTTTGACAGGCCGAAGCATATGTAGAAATCAGAGAAGTGCGTTAGGTTAGTATCTATATTATAAATCAAAGAATTATTCTGTATGTCTGTACAAAAAATAGGGAGTTGCATACTAACCATGTTAACAGTGTTCAAAAGCGCACGTGCACATACAAAGATTTGCGAGCAAAATATTGATCGGTTTTGTGGTGATTACGTTGTGTTTAGTGCGAGCAACATTTCAATTGGCTGTATCATCGATTGTGATGGATATTTTTTGATGCGATAAAAACTGACTACCAATGAATACTATTAGCTTCTTCTGTGTGACCACAGGCTTTCTAGTAACTTATATAAAAGACTTAATTTGTTGGTACAATTTTCAGCTGGTCAGTGGCAGCATTTTTGTGATTTGTGTGTGCAAAACCTGATCCAACAAGACCCACCCCAACCCACTTAATTAACTGCCCATCTTTCTTATCAAGAAAGGCAGTGAATGGAAAATAAGCCAATAACAGAGGATTTTAAAGTTTGCCAATAGTGATATGATACAAAATATCACAACTAGATAGAATACTAGATTGTCTGTTTTCATTTCAGTTTCACTTATTCCATTATAACTCTTCGTAACTCTCGACCCCTCTTAAGACCAAGTGTCAAGATGCATTGATGCAAACGTACTTATATTTACGTGAGCAGTACTGCTTTTAACATTAATCAAATTCTAAATCTTATATTCTAAATCCTAACATCTAAATACTTATTACCTTCATTCTAAATTGTAACTATCTAATAAGAAATCTCGAATAAGCAACATGTACTGGATAGTACATGCATTGTAGCACAATTATGTTGTTGCAATGATTAGTTCGAATTAGTTTTTTGACTCAATAAAATTGAACAGTTCCGAAGAAAACTAAAATAGACTATTCAAACATTTGCGATGAAAAATCGGCAATCGGTTGAAACACAGCATGATGTTTCAGAAATCTTCAGTAGCGCTCGATTTTTCTTGATTTTCGAAACTGCGCCGCGCACAAAACACAAAAATTTTATCTTTTCAAGAATTTTGGGAATTTTTGACGGCAGAGAAAATTTCACACCATCTATATATGATATATATAATACCGATGCATTTTCTCTTCACACATAGCTAAGTGACAAAACTTTGAAATTTTTACTTTAACGGGTGATACTCGTAAAATATTTGTTCCATATATTACCTGCGGACCCCAGGCTATTATGTTCATTAACATAAAGAATAAAGATTTGGCGGAATGACAGGCTGAGCGCGGCCCAGTAATCCATATATTGCAATTGGACCGTAGACGAGTCCAACTCGGCGCGCGTCCTGTTAGGGTTTAACAGGTGATACTTGTATAATATCTGTTCCATATTATATTGCAGACCGTCGACGAGTCCAACTCGGCGCGCGTCCTGGTAGGTTATAAACCTACAAGGTAGATTGCAAACTTACAAGCTCTCTTAAAGTTAAATTTGTGGTGTTTGTGGGATCGGAGCGATTGATGAAGAGAATTAAATGGAAAGCGCTGTCAGGAGTTTTATCTGCTTGTATCAATGTATCACGCTGTGACCCCCACTTTAACGGGTGATACTCGTAAAAAAGTTGTTTCAAATAGGACCGTCGACGAGTCCAACTCGGCGCGCGTCCTGGTAGGTTATAAACCTTTAACCCCCACTGCACTTGATTCACGATGTCAATCCTTCGCATCTCGCCGATCTGCATACGTGTGGTTGCGAGAAGCATTGTTGGTTGCGAGAAGCATTATTGGATGCGCGCGCGGCCCAGTAGTGCATCGCGCTACAACCACTGCACTGGCACACGTCACTAACTGTGTTTTCACGACAATACAACGGCGAAAGCCACGATACAGCCGCGCACTCGTGCGGGGCGGGCATACAACGTATTACTGGGCCGCGCTCAGCCTGTCATTCCGCCTAATCTATATTTACCAACATTAAAGCCTGGGGTCCTCAGGTAAACAACGTATGGCAAGAGTTTGTATAGTTAGCCTAATCGAATTAAATTTGTAATGGTTATGGATGAATGGATTTTCTTGCATCTCTTCCGCTTGTTCGCGTTGTATCAAGTTGCGTTGTATCACGTTGCGACCCCCACGGTCGATACAGGGGGAGCCGCGCACTTCGTGCGCGGCGGGTCACACAACGTATGACAATGTACGCGGGTTTGAGTTTGTTTGCTCTTTATTTAGCCCACGTCAAAGATATCTTAGACGAGTATAATTAATAATACCCGTCAAAGGTCTGGTATGGTGGAACTGGAAGTACAAACTCGGTTGTAAATGCAATAGACCAGAGTATAATTACATTACACCCATGAATTAACTTTTGGGTGTAACTGAAGATTTTGAAATCACCGAAAGATAAGAGGTGCAGGTTTAATTTTGTATGTTGTCTAATTTGATTTCTAGGGGAGACAATGAAAACAGTTATTTCATAGGATAAAATTCATTCATACGGACATAATAACAACAAAGCGGCAATTCAAAGCCTATAATATCTTATGGAGACCTCGAATGAGACATACATACCTGTTTAAGTATTGCTAATTAGTGGTTTTAAAATCTTAGATATAGCAATCAAGTATCCTTGCATCCACAATCGATTTTAAAAGATAAGAAGAGGTAAAAAGCTCCAAAGTTTGTTTTGTTTAAGATATCATCATCAGCATTCCATAATCCAATGCTTATAACCATCAATAGTAATACTTCCAGTTCTATCAAAATCTATTGGAAATTAACATGCATATCTCTTTGATTTATTTTACCGATTTCATTTTTTCATAATCCTTCATACAATGTACTTTAAATTTAATGATTTCGAATTGATTAAGCAAGAATTAAAAACCGGAATCTATCACCATGGCATCGAATCCATGCAAGCGTTTACCATAAATAACTTAGTGTTAAACGTGTACATAATCGCTAAAGAGAAAACCATCTATAAATTTAACGGTGTAAACCCTGCGATAAGTGGCATACTTCAAACGCCAAATAGCATACGAAACATAAGAACTAGGTTTAATAAGTTAGAAACTTCAATCTGAAACCTGATTATTCTCAGATGCTATCCTCCGAACACGCTCAACAAACAAATTAGCCTATAAGTCCTTTATCAATCTTCTATAGGCTTAATCAGTACTAATTTCAATTGTATCAACTTTAATAGCTCTTTGGAGAACAGATTCCAAGGGTCTAGAAGAGTAATGCTGAATAGAATTCAGTAGCGTTAAAGCTAGTAAAGTTTTACCGATACATTTATATGAGCTTTACACATTATTTGTCGCCTAAGCTTTCAATTAATTGTATGAGATAAGCCTTAATTGTTAGGCAACAACACTATCATTCAGTCGCATTCATCAGTCCAATGTTTCATAGTTTTTAGCACAACTTTAGTCAGTGCCAGAAGAAATTTTTCAGCCTGGATAGGTTTCCAGGAGCAGATTATAAAGTTGAATCTGCTATGCTTTACAATTTGTGAAGATGATCAGATGATCATTCATTCAATTTTGTTTCAGTGGAGGTCACTATCCACGTTCAATCCATAGTTCAAAATTGAGAGTCCATTTCGTTAAAACGCAGAAGTAATAAAAACCTTGACAATCTTCCAAATTTAGCTTTCAACCCTTGTGGGGAACTAAAGTGCAATAAATCCTATTGCGAAATATTGCGACAAATGCAACCGAAAGGAACGTCACACTATACAATCCATGCTAAATGCCTCATTTTACATCCTACCTTTAATACTTGCTGGCATTTCCAAGCCTATTTTCTTGCTTTAAAACAGTTAAAATCTTTTAAAAACACTTCTGATAAAAAGTTTCTGTACATAACTTGGCACATGATTGCAGTAATTTTCGAGAATAAACCAGAACATCTGCGGAAAACAGATTTAAGATTAAGTTTGGTAAAGACACCCTGACAGTGTGTGTATTATAGTAGACGATGTTCTGGTTTATATTTCACAAACTGAACTCCGACACTTAGCGGGTCAGTTTGCATTATTTTAGAGCTAATATTGAGCAAGTATTCTTTGAATGTATGAATAATGAATCAGTTGATAATATGATCTCGGAATTCCATGCGAAAATGCATGTTCTTTTGAAAATATACATGGCGAAATAAACATTTCTAACCCAAAAAAAAACTGGACAACGCAACAACATTTAAATGCAGAAGCTACACGTAAAATAAAGGTAACAGAAGCTGCAAATACATAACACAGGACCGGCAAAATAGTTTCAATAAATCAGTATCGAATATATAACATAATCCTTCAATAATTGGTTTAAGGGATTATTTTCTTTAATCACAACGCCTAAACAGAACCCTTGAAATATATATCATACACATCAAAGCAAATGTAATACTAAATTTGCACGTTTAATTATTATATAATGAGGCTTATATTTGATGTTTGGCACAAGTTCACCTAAGCGCTTGTGACTGGCTTGCACCTCCAGAGTGTCCACAGTCTTTCTCTATGTAGGTATGGGTGGTAGTATTCCGGAACGATGTAACTTCACTCAGCATCTAACTCATGGCTAGCAGATACAGTGTAGGTTAGGTGTCTTCCTTTTCCCCCAAAACTGGGCCTCTTAACGATCACACAAACCCACATTTTCTCGTTCCATCTTGAACTTCACTTCACCTCAGCTTCACTTGTATGATGATGTTCCTCTTATCTGCTAGAGGATACTTTAGGTTTTACAGTTGCTGAGTGCCTCGCGTATTACTACCAATCCGTTACCCACGTCAAGACAAGGGTTCTCTTGGCGACTGGGGGACGTTTTCCCTTGTTGTCTTGCCTTTTCAATTCGAGAATCTAGACTTGTTATCGTGTACTGGGGCTCCACTGATCCGCTCATTGACATAAAACTACCAAAATTAGGACCTAAACTGAAAGGGCTGAGTCCTATAATGGGGCTGCGGGGCAAGTTACTGAGAGGATTAAACAGAGGGCTGAACTTGGAGCGACTGAAGCCATCTTTTGTCACCAACCCTTCAAGTAGAGGCCCCAGTGGATCCGAGTTGAGACTGGAAGTCGGAGTAATCCGGCGTTTTAGATTCTCTAGTACTCCGTTAGCATCTCCGTTGTTAGAGTCACGTGGTGGGCGGAGACGGACGGTGTGATGCGGCTGCGGCTTAGACGGAGACGGTCTTTTTATCTCACTGTTTTCAGACACATTCGGAACTGCAAAAATAATTATTCACATGATGATTTAATAGTAAATAGAGCTTCAATCATGATTTCACTTAAGAATTGTTTCGCTCAAGGATGATATCACTGTCAGGAATTAATTGAATTCTAAAAATTGAATAAATGCTGATTGAACTGAAATCATATACAGTCGAACCTCTCTATATCGGGAACCTCGATAAACCGAGCCTCTATTAAGCCACTAATGACATACATGGGGGAGACGCTTGACAGGTTATTTTAGAGGCTACAGACACCTCCCCCAAAAGGCCCGGTATATAGAGGTTTTATTTATATATAGATATGATCAAATGAAAAATTCTTCCAGTTTTAGACTCACAGTTAATGTACTTACAGACAATGGTAGGTTGCAGGATATTATGATCTAGTTTTCCTTCCTTACTAGCTTTCGTTACAGGACAGTCTTTGTGTTGGAGTAGTAATCGTTTCAGGTTCATAATCTCTTGTCGTAAATTGTGAACTTCGATCTGGGCGGAGACGTTAAATGAGTTTGAACATACTCCAACAAATTTAAAAGCTAAACCGTTTAACTTCCGCGTAGATTTACTTTGCACGGAACAGTAGGAGTTGAACAATTTTGAAGAATCCAACAGCTTTCCACAACAAAAATAGAATGGAACTCACATGCAATTTGCTGTTTTCCTCCTGAATACTGAACTTCTCGGACTGCAGATTGTTGATCCACTGCTTCCTCTTTTCCCGACATCTTTGAGCAGCCGCCCTATTTCTCTCCAAGAACTTCCTCCTTTTCTCGTCAATGTGACCGCTCAACTCGCTAGGGTACCTTTTCCTGGAGCTGGATGAGGACAAGCCGTCCATGCCCTCATGGTCCGAGAGACCCGAGGTTATATCCACCCTTTTTCTAATCCTTTCTGCCAATACTGCCCGGCTATTAGATTCTGTAGGAGAGGTTGCTGAAAGAGATATTTAGTGTTAATTAAAAGCACCTAATGTGAACATTTGAGTTTAGTCACGAACTTAATTAAAATGATCACCTATTCCTGTGAATATGTGCAGGCATGGTCTCGGGACCCCACTTACATTATCTTATATTAAATGAACTGGTCTTCAAAACTTACGTTCACTCTTCACAGACTCAGAATCCACATCCAAATTAGCTCCATTAAGTTCAGTGTCCATACTCTCAGACTTGACAGGGATGGGAGCATGTTGCTGTATCATCTTCTGACTGAGACCACCTCTCAGAATAGTCTGCAGATCTATGTGCGGTACGTGTGGTAGTCCTGGTGAAGTAGGATGATGTTAATCTCATCTTACACTTGGTACAGATCTAATTGTGGATTATTATCCCTTAAGACAAAAGCCTCAGGCAAATGTTCCCACATGTTTTAATCACAATACATTTTAATCGAGTCCAGGTTGATGACAAAATTTGAACACAAAAGCATTTAAAATTTAGATCAAAATTAGGCATAATGGTTGCAGAAAGTTAATTGATATTCCATCAAATTAACACTACCTTGCGTACCGTGTTTATGGGAGAAGCTGATAGGTCCCGGAACTGGTGACAGTTTAGGAACAGGGAAGATCGGGCTCTCGATGCAGGAAGTAATGGGGGTGTGAAGTGCGCCGCTGCTAGTCGTCAACAGTGACGTAGGAAAAACTGGACTCATGAGATTTGCCACAGGTGTGTGCAGTGCTGAAACAAATAAAAATTAGAAACACTAAAGATTAGCACAGACTAAAGACAAACCTAGGAAATATGCAAAACTGAAACATTTAATATTATTACAGTATTATAATTACATATCATTATCTGACGTATCTGACGTAGTAAACCCGTGCAACCAATTTGTCCAAAATTATTACGAAATGGAGATAATTGCTGAAAATCATTTAATAGCAGCAGAAAGGGAAAGTTAAAACGGATACTTACAGGGAGAAATGATGAGCCTGGGCTTGGATGTAGCGGGAGTATCACCACCGTTATTCCTCATCTCGGCGAACTGAAACACAATACGCATTAAACTACATCCACCTGCAGCACAGAGCGGCGCTCTATCACTCTCATTTCCAACTTACGTCATCCGGGCTCATTAGATCAATCTGTGCTCTATACTATATATTAGACAGAGCACGTAACTCCTGGTGGTACATGTGGCGCACACACACACACACACACACACACAGATTTGACACATTCTTACAACTAGTGTGAGTAAATAGTGTGAGTGTGGTGGAAAAGGACGTGAAACATGTGACATGTTAAGGGTGAGATCGTGACGTTGGTAACTGTGTTACACGCCTATATAGGAATGTTTACAGTGATGGTATAGTAATATCAGTAACATTTGTGAGGTTTCTCGCTGGAGGAGTTAAACCCAATAGTGATGGTGACTTATTACGAACAAGTAGTGAAGTGGACAGTGAGGATGTTACGTCACTCTTAAGAGATGATGATTTTATGGCTGTGGTCACCAGGAATTAAAGAGGTGTGACAAAGCGAGTGGAACACGCTGGCAATAAACATATTGTCTAAAATAAATGAATCATCTAACTTTAGCACTTACAGCATGAGCAATGCCACAGAATTGGGCTAATTGGTCTTGCAGAGGGAACCGAATACTTGAGCCAGAATGAGCGTTGTCTACAGAAGCATAGCTACCCAGGGTAACATGCCTAAATCGGACCATTGTCAAGAATATATACTACTGTGAACAAAATTCAGAAATGGGCAATTATGTTGGAGAGGAAATAAAAGCAACAGCTATATATTCGTAAATACCGACTCTAACAACAACTACAAGTCGAGGGTAGATAGTAAAAAGAACGATGAAAAAGCAATTAGTTGAAACGTTGGCGATGAGAATAATAACCATGTCGCTAGAAAGCAACATTACAACAAAAATACACGCCCCTTCAAAAGAATGTCAGTCGCTAATCGCTGAATAGCGCCATGTATGAGCAACTAAAATAAATGACGTCAAATGACGTAACATGTCGCACGCATGCTTCAGCCGCGCGCACTAAACCGCGGCATGCGCGTTCATCAAATGATCACAATTTGAGTAGACCCCAGTGGAACATAGCTTTTTGGATATGTAACTTTTTCCGTGAGGGTTGCGCTAATGTTACAATATAATATTATGCTGTTTGATCAGGCTATTTATTGCTAATCATTGTAATAAATAATGAGCATAGAAATATACAAATACTGGTATTTATAAAGAACCAGAAAATCATTCACTGACGTGTTACGAAATAAACTTTAAATTATCGATAGACAAATTAAAGGTGATAAAAATGAATCCCTTAAATCACACAATGTCTTAAAGCAGACAAAGCCTTTGAGTTAAATAGTTTTAGCAAAAAGCTTTTAGTCAATATCTTGCAGTTAGTATCTAACAGAGGATTTAGATAAGCTATGCTGGTAGTAAAACCACAGGGGCTGATCACTGCCCGGAGATTATAATAATATGTCGCGTCAAAATACTTCCACTCAATATGTCACGTGTCAAAATACTTCCACACCCCGAACCCAAAGCCTTTAATAATTCAAATATTAAAAGCCTCTCATTTTACGGTCTTAGTACGAGGTTAGCTGAATTAAATTAACAAATGTTACTTAAACGCGAGCTAAGCCGACTACGTATTACATCAGTTTGACTCTCAGCGATTTACTTTGATTTCATATCGCACATGATTAAACATGTTAAAAGCATATCTGATTCAAAGACACAGCTTCACAGCTCCTGGATTTTTCTTTACAATTTAGAAAGTGCCTTTGATACGAATTTATCACATCTTTTTCATCTGATTTCTTTCTAAAGAGTCCACTCTTAACACTTAAGTTCTGGTAAAATTAAACTGATTTTAACAGCTTTACTTAAATAAGTTTATATACCGCCACTACTAGCGGATATTTTGAACATAAAGATGTGAGTATGGAGTAGAACATGAAATTTCAAGTTATCCTGTGTGAACAACCTTATTCGGGTTAAACTCTGAAGTGAATAATTGCGGTACCCAAACCTGCATAGTAATCTAAACGATTCTATGATCGACGATCATTGATCGTTTGACCCTACTCTTGAGGAGGAATCGATATCTAATGTATGAGTATATAACTTGATATAATTAACTCAAACGCTATGAGACATCATTATTCGGAGGGACATCTTGAACCCAAGCATTTATCAGAATAAGACGATTAATTAATAAAGATCGGTCAATATTATATTAAGCGCTCTTCAGTGGCGACTGGAAGCATAAAAACCAAGATAAAAAACTAAGCCATCCCTTTTTATGTATGAGGGGTTGCCAAAGGCGCTAATAAACAAGTGACTTTACTTTCAGTTAATTGTCGCACTTGAAACCTAACCCGTCATCATCCCTCACTTTGACAGAGTTCTTTAAATGAACGTAATATTTTAGGTGGTCAACTTAAAGGGTTGTAAAGAGCTATTAACTGAGGTAAGTAAACTTTAGACTATGCATGGTTAATTCCCAGAAATATAAATATTCAACGCAATCCCCGAAAAACAAAAAATACTCCACCATAAGCAGAACACAATTGGTAGAGGACAAATTGACTACCAAACCTGTCAACAAGGCCGCAGGAAATATAATTGTGTGGTTTACAGCAGGCAGCAGTGCACAACTAAATGAGGGCCAGGGTGGGAGTGTGTAGATTACAGGTTATTAAAAAACAGTAGGACACCACCACACCGCCCTCCCTCCCGCTGTTTAACAGACAATTGACGTCACAGTACCGTTAAAACTACGGGGTACCTTGTGTAACACAACTCACTCTCTATGCTGCGAATATATTATATATTTATATATATTTATATATATACATATAATGTGTCATGTACTCCCTTAATTTACATTTCATTAGACTTGAATCTTTCCTTTCAAGTGAGTATGAGAATGGTTCAGATTATTTTGCTAATTTAACTTGTCGCTACTTATTTTTAGAGTAATGTATTGGAATCTGAGGCACGAGACGGCACTTCATCAGTGTATTCTTACATTATCAACATCTCACCGTGGGAAGATAAAATTGCATTTATCCCAACTCATCTGAAAATGTTCCTTCGAGTGATAACACGAATGTGGCCAGGATGCTAGCACTACACTAATACTTCCACCCAGAAGATGACTCAGGCGTGAAGATCCCATTCCCTCTCTCTCTCTCTTCTTAGTTCTTACATACTCTTTGTTTTAACTTCAGGAATACACGTTAAATATATATATATATAATATATATTTATATTTGGCGCTCACCTCACATATTTATCCAACATATTATATTATTTTATAATGATAATAATATATACACATAATATATCAGAGTTACAACCATTACGTCACACACTAATTAGTGTAAAGAGAGAGAGAGAGAGAGAGAGAGAGAGAGAGAGAGA